CAAATGCCAAGAGACACAAAATAGAAGAAAAAGGACGAAAAAAATAGCAGAAATGGATTTTGCTGATATGACGGTCGTCACAGGTCCCTCACAACCGTCACCTGTGTGACGACCGTCACGAACGTCATATATCCCTTACGACCGTCACACTTGCAAAAACAACTTAACGTCCACTTTTGAGAACGTGTCAGCAGAAGTCCAAAAACAGAATCACGACTCCCTGGATTCTCTCACCCTCAACTGCACTTCCTGAGGCAGTTCACGTAGGAAACATTCACTATAAAAGGAGAGCTTGAGGACTGGAACAAGGGAGCCGCATTGAAGACCACGAAGTGTTGCCCAATTTACTACAAAAAGTCGTTCTTTGTTTCTACTTTGTTTTTCCTTTATTTTCCTTTAAGATTCCAGTTGTACTTTTTGCTCTTTAAACTTTCCGTACGTTAATCGTCACCGAAGTAATCTTCCCGACATTGTGGGGGATTATCCAAGTGCCGAACCAGAATTGTTTGCAGGTTCATTATTATTATTAATTAAGTTTCCAATTGCTTTATAATGTATGTTTACATATTCTGTTGTTTTAATTCAATTATGTCTGCTTTAAGATTCATGTCTAGCTAAACTGTATCGATCGGTATGTAATGAATTAGCAGGACGAGATCCAATAACATCCGGCGTATTTCCATTTTTTCAAACTTGTTTCTGGCCATAGTTTTTAATCTGAATTTGTTAAACTAAACTTCGTCGCGACAGCGAGAATTTGTTTAAAGTAATCTCGCCACGACAGTGGGAGATTCATTAAGGTATGAACCGACATGCGAAAGCTGAGGCTAGGACCATATAGTAAAAACTAGGCATTTATTTTAAATACAGCGAAAGCGCTTTAAACGAGATTAGAACTCAATGGTTTTCAAAAAGCAATTTTTAACCCCGAACGGGATAGCGAAAGCATGCGTTCCGCCTTAGAGTTGCGACTAGCGTCAACAACCATAGTGAGACAAAAGTCTTTGAACCGTTATTTTCTTCTGAAAACCATTTTGAAATTATTAAACCACGCCGGTAACTTGTCGAATCCTCGAAGAACTAAGGCATTGCATACCGATTCCCCGTATTAATATTTTAAGAAACCTTTTAGCCTTTCTTTAATTTAACCTTTACTTTTGCATCTTTTCCCTTAAACCATATCCAACCTATCTAAACATAGTAACGCCCGAGAACAATAGTTTGATTACGAGTTCCTGTGGGATCGATATCTTTTATTACTACGCGACAGACTGTGCACTTGCAGTCAGTTAAGGTTAGACTCAGAAAGTCGCGATCAATATGCTACTGCTGTTGATGAAAGCAAATCCAAAAGTATTGCAAAGGTAAACCCTTTCAACAAAGAACAAATAGAGATGTTGCAAAAAATGATGCAACAAACAATACAAAACACTAGTACTTCTTCCACTGCTACTCTTGCCCAAAAAGGTAATTTTTCTACTGCCCTTCATGTTAATCACCAGAAAACAAACCAATGGATTGTTGATTTCGGCGCATCGGATCACATGACTGGGGACATCAATGTATTTACCAAATACACTCCCTGTCAAGATGGATCTTTTGTTCGAATAGCAGATGGTACTACCTCTAAAGTGGCTGGTAAAGGTTCAGTGATTATCACTAAAGATATTACTCTTGATTCAGTTTTACATGTTCCAAAATTAAATTGCAACTTGTTGTCTATCTGTAAATTAACCAAAAATTTGGGATGTACTGCTAAGTTTTTACCAAATTTGTGCGAATTTCAGGATATAAATTTGGAGAAGATGATTGACAATGTTGAGGAAAGTGCAGGCCTTTACTACCTAATAGTTGAAGAACAAAATAAAAGATCATACAAGGCTGCCCTTACGTGTTCATCAAAGAATGAGAATGATGTAATGTTATGGCATTATCGCCTAGGACCACCCAAATTTTATATATTTGAAAAAGATATTTCCATCATTATTTAATAAAGATTCTAGTTTTTTTTCAAATGTGAAGTGTGCGAATTAGCCAAACACACCAAGTCTCATTATTCCATACAACCTTATAAGTCATCTAAATCTTTCACTCTTAATTCATAGTGACGTGTGGGGCCTTCACAAGTGAGCAATATTACTGGGTCAAGGTGGTTTGTCACCTTTATTGATGACCATACAAGAGTCACTTGGGTGTTTCTCATGAAAGAAAAGTCAGAGGTAGAGGGTATATTTGAGAACTTCCATAAAATGGTTCAAACCCAATTTCAAAGCAACATTCAAATCCTAAGAACTGATAATGGGGGGAGTACTTCCACCACACCCTTGGTACATACCTTGCCAAAAATGGGATTGTACACCAAACTTCATGTTCATATTCTCCCCAACAAAATGGAACGGCATAGAGGAAAAATGGACACCTATTAGAAGTCACTCGAGCCCTTATGTTGTCCATGAATGTACCTAGCCATTTTTGGGGAGATGCAGTTCTTTCTTCATCATATCTAATAAATAGAATGTCCTCCAAAACACTCAACCTAAACACACCTCATCAAACTATCTTGTCGTTTTATCCTTCGACTAAACTCATCACAAATCTCCCACCAAAGATTTTTGGATGTACTGCATTTGTACATGATCAAAAACCAAATCCCAACAAGTTGGACCCAAAAGCCATCAAATGTATATTTTTGGGATACTCTCCTACCAAGAAAGGATATAAATGTTATTGTCCTCAGAAAAGACGAATCTATCACACTATAGATGTCACATTTTATGAAGGGAATACCTTTTATTCCAAGGTTGCCATTCAGGGGGAGAAAGTGACAATTGATGAACACCAACCTTGGGAAATTATTATACCAAAATATGTTCTGCAATCTGTCCTAGAAAACGTTCTAAAAAATGTACCCGGTCTGTTTGGAATGCATCAAAACATCTCAGATCCCCCGATTGACCTCGGTCAGTGTTTTAAAAACCGGACCGGACCGGTCGGACCGAGAACCGTCCCAGTAACCGGTCTGGTTTACTAGTTCGATCGTCTATGTCATCAAATCGGTAAAAACCGGGAAAAACCGGGTTTAGGGTTGGACCAGTTCTAATGCATTTTTTTTAATTAAAATTTAAATGCAAAAGTTATAAAAATTAAAAAAAATGTTTAAAATTAGATTATGTTGCAATTATTTTGTAATTTTGTATTATTTTGTTATGTATGATACATTTGTTTAAAATTTAAATTTAAATTATGAACTTGTGAATTTATGATATGATATTTTCAAAAAATTTAAGTACTAGTTATATTTATTTAGAAATTGAATCATCCGGTTCGACCAGTTTTATATCTATATAATGACAGGTCTATTCAACCGAGTTATCCGGTTTAATCCGGTTTAGTCATGCGGTTCGACCAGTGACCCAGTGGTTCGACCGATAAACCAGTGACCCAATACCCTCACCGGTTCGATGACCGGTCCGGTTTTTAAAACACTGACCTCGGTAAATGGCATCTACAAAAAATTAATGATCAATGGGACTATCCCGACGGAAAGAATTTTGATAAATCTGAGTGTCGTAAATGAAGGAACTGTCGCGCCCATGTCTTACATGACCCAGTGATGACAACCCCATCTATATACCAACTAATACTTATATGGCTTAGTACAGATCGGTTGCAACTAGATTTGTCTCCGAAAAGAGGTATCTATATGATCCACGACAAACCACCCACACACAAGAAGCTTCAACGTCTAACCCACCAGAAAATCACTGGACCTGTTACTCACAACCCCCTACCCAACAAAATTACCAACCCACAAACACACAAACCCATCATCCAAACATGTCAAACACCCAACCACAATACTAAGAGCGTCCCTCATACCATCTCCAACAAAATGATTATTATCAAGACACCCAAAATGTCTATGCCCCTTAACACAACATCAAGATATAGCCATAACGCCCAAACATCTTTCCATAGCCAAAACGCCCAAACATCATACCATAGCCATAATGCCCAAACATCTTTCCATAGCCAAAACGCTCAAACATCACACTATATAGCCTACACACACAAACATCACAACAACCTTATCACATTCAAACACCAATATCATTTCAACCTTTCACCAATGAAGCATTCACACCAATGTCCCCCTTCAATCGTCTAGGCAACACACTAATGACCCATTCATCACATCCGAACTACTCTGGCATGGATCGCGAGCTCAGTTTCAACATACAAGACTTCTTGGAAATGCAAGAAATTCTTAGGGATTCAGTTGGGAATGTTTCTGAGACCTCAACTCCTCAAACACCTGGAGTGAATCAACAACGAGGACAACAAGTGAGGGTGCCTAGGGGATGTGGAACTGGTGGCCGGTATGACCAACCCAGTCGCCAACATTAATTTATGCAATATTATTTTTAACTAATATTAATGTTAGTTATTTATGTTAAAAAAATTTCACTTTCAACCTTATCTCCAATTGAATTGGTGACACCCTTTGACAATTTACACTGTGTCGCCAATTGAATTGGCAATAGATGTATATTCCTGCTGTATAGTTGTCTTTTCTTTTGGTCTGAGACAAAGGGACACACCTCAAACTCACATACACGACTGCGAGGTTCCGGATTTAAATCCAAGCAAAATTGTCCAGCCCGGGAATATCCGTTTTGCTATTTGAGGTAAGCCTTACGTACAATTTTGTTCTTTATTTGGACAAATTTACATTTTATTTTCCATTATTGGTAGAAGTCTATAAATTGTATATCACCTATGTACAGAAAAATTCTGTGAATATTATTCGGAATCGGATTATTATTCCTTCATTTCTTTTAAGGACACCTCATACAACAAGTAGAAATATGTCAAAGGAAATCATGGAGAGAAAGTAAGAATGTGATCAGGGTATCCAAATAGAAACTATCAAATGTACAAGTGCAAAAAATATCAAGGTGAATATGTAAATAACCATAAACTTGAGTAAATGTGTTTACCTGCCAGCTTGACAGTGAAAAGACCAAATATTTGAGGGCAGATTCCTCGTAGAATAGCATTCCTTCCTGGATTAAAAAAAAAGGATTTAAAGTTTTACATCTCAAAACATAATACATAAATCAAAACCATCCAAAAAAATTTGATAGCGTGAACCAAATTTGACCTGCGATGGGTGAGCAGAGTTGGTCCAAATATTTTAGATGATGGATTATACTATATTGTACAGTCCAGTTTCTCAAGGACGATATAAAATAATAAATATTGGGAGAGGCAGTCACTAAAGGTTCAAAAATATGAATTTGAATGATACAATGATGCCAAATATGTGTTATAGCCTTGTCAGAATACCACCTTTTAAAGGCGCATCTTTGAATTGATTCCAAAACTGCTTGAATTTCATAACTATGACATCAGAAATATCAATTTCTGACTTCAATTCATTGATTCTCCTGACATCAATAAGAAAATATGCAAGAGAATGAACTATATCAGTTTTTTCGCTTAGCCTTCCGTTAAGTCATAGTAAATAATTAATTTGAAGGCACTCAATCTGTGCATCATCTAAAAACATTAAAACATATATGTAATACTTAATCTCTAATAAATTAGTTGTAGCAAAGGTTTAGCCTAGGAGAAATAAGGGGAAGATTTACAAATAGTACATGCAAGCAATGATGAAATCATGAAAATAATGTTTACTAGCAGATCCAATTTCACAAACAGACTCGAGGGCGTAACATATTGGACACGTGGCCAGGAGAAAGAAAGGATTCCTTTGGAGGAAGGTAAAAAGGAACTTTAGAGGAGAGTGGTGAAATGTGAATGAATAGTATGCTTTAAGCGGTCCTTATCCAAATATATAATATATTCTTAATTGTTTTAATATAGATACCAAATATAATGGGATAGTTTCCATATATGAAAACTATATCAGTATAATTTAGTATCCATCTTAAAACAAATAATTGTTTCTTAGGGTTATAGTGGGATAGTTTCAAATACAATGCTTATAGTATCTATCTTTAAGTGGTCTTAGATCCACTTTACCAATATAATTTAATCAAGAATAATGAAGGAAGGCGAACTGATCTACAGACCGAGCATATTAGGTGAAGGTGCTTGAATGGTTTTTATCTTAGCGTCCTGGGCGTCAGAGGACTAAAGTAATGGAAAAATAATTAGGCAATCATTATGAGCAGGAAAGTGAATGCTTAAAAAAATAATGTTGAAAGTGGGATTCATATTAAGGTAGTACATAATATGGGAAAGGAATGGTAATCCAAGCTACAAAGGATTCTTGCTAATAAATGAGTAGCTCAAAATGAGAACGATGAAACATTACCAGAAAAGGTAGGCATTTCAACCTTAGGCATCACTGCAGGTCTATAAACTATGAGGAGTTGGGGAAAATTAAGTAAGAACGTGCATAAATAGATATTTTTTCCCGTGGCAAACTTTTTGTAAGGAGCACAAAAATTTCTAATATCAGGAAGCTTAATTTTGTTATATTTACTTCAAAGATAAACAGTGAGAAGTTTATTTCACCTTATATTGTTGGCTGTTAATAGAAAAATAATTTAGAATGTGCATAAACAAATATACATTATAAATATATATTTCCCCTCAAGAGCACCAAAATATCAAATACCAGGATGCTCATTTTATTATAACTATCGTATTTCTCACCTTACATTGTTGGCTATTAATACGGGATCAAGGTCACAACGCACATCCTTCAACTCTGGAGACCATTTTGCTGTTAAGAGACCGGTGACAATCACATCATCTGCAAGTAAAAAAGAATTAAAGTCCTTCATAATCAACTTTTAGCAACAACTATTGCATTTATGAATTCATCAAGCCCCTTACACCTTGGGCAACACATATACACTGAAACAATAGATTGCAATCCTACGAGGTTGAGTTAACTTCAAAAACCAGTTCCGAATTCAGCATGTATTCCGCAACTTACCAAACAATCTTTATTAGGTATATATTGCTCAACATTTTCATGCATAATTTAATAATTTCATCTACAGAAATTTCTTGATTTAATTATTTTAGAAGAAAACTCCATCAATATTTATTTTTCTGTTTTTCCATAAATGCCCAAAATCATTTATCAATATTGTCTTGCAGCACTCCTGCTTTAGCTTGTGATAAACCATCAGACTTTCAGGAAACTACTTCTAGAAAAATCACCTATCCACCGAAAACTGAAAAGTATATGTCAAAATAAAAAGACCCAATACTCTTGAGCGGTGTTATTTGGAAAATGTGGTGTATTAAATCATGTGAGTCCCGCATAAATTTGATACAATCTATATTAATTTCCACCGATAGAAGAATGTGTGTCAGAAATAATGTATTTGAAAGAGTGTTGCTGGCATTTTTCAATAAATAAATAACAAGCTTTCTTGTTTATTTTAAAAGCTAGTGTAACCGGGGAAGCAGCACATGACACGAGGAGAAGAGAAAGTAGACATGGAAATGAGCATAGTATGACCAACATTAACCATTGTGAATTTGTGATCAATGAAGGCTATGAGCGGACACATAACTTTCAAGACCTACTCCGAATGCACTCTAAGGCTCGTTGTAACTGAGATTCAAAAACTATCCAGTTTAACTTGTAACATGTGATCTCACTATATGTAGATTGGTGCTGGATTAAAAGACCAGAGATCAACACTAATATATCAATGAAAAAAATTAAGAAATAAAACAGCAGTCAGATCATATGACAGGCTAAACCCAAAATAAGATGCAATTAATTTTATAACACTAACCATTAGAATGTAAGAAAATATCTAATTATATCTTGATATAATGCTAGAACTAAAAGATCTTAGTTTATTTCACTGTCTCTAATCTTAGAGTATCTTTAGAAATTAGTTTCTAAATTACTTACTTAATATCATGATTTGTTTCTTGATTTTCTTATTTATTTAGAATTAGAAGTCTTGTATCCCTTTAAATAAGGGTTAGTGTTTAGTCTTTTTTTATCGAGCTCTTATTATCTCTTTCCTATTATTTATAACACAAAACTTCATCATGGAATCACAACGAGTATAAAACATTTGATACAGACTTGGCTACTATTGAATTGAGAAATGCTTGGGGCAGGGATGGAGAAGACATAGCAATTTCTGTAGATTGCTTAAAAACTCTCCTAACCTAAATGCTCTGGAAATCTAATATCTTATTATCTCTTGAAATGCACTTTTGATCTATCCCAAGAATCAATACATTTTTGTCATTTCTTCTACGTATTTAATCCTGCTTGTTGCACTTGTCTAGGAACCACGAATTCTACTCTTCTCATTGTCTTAAACTTTTGTTTCTAGGGTTCAAGTGAAGTGCTTTTGGAACAGCCTTCTTACTTGGGGCCGTGATTCATCTTTCCAGTTATCATTTTGAAGAGTCATATGGTATTATGGTCCAACATATTTTGAGTTTCAAACATCCATCCAAAGGGTCTGTATGAATCGGACACTGACCATTCATGAATATTAGAGTCTAGTGACTTTTACTTTGTTGGATAAAGTCATTTCATAATTTTAATATACAAGTTTATATGGCTTAATCTTCACTTGTGGACCTTCAGAGTAAAAGTGTGGTGAAACTCTCAAATGGATCATGAGAGTCATTCACATTTTTCTGTATTCTTCTCTTTCTCATTATCATACGGGTCATAGGGTTGCACTTGTCTAGGAACCACGAATTCTACTCTTCTCATTGTCTTAAACTTTTGTTTCTAGGGTTCAAGTGAAGTGCTTTTGGAACAGCCTTCTTCCTTGGGGCCGTGATTCATCTTTCCAGTTATCATTTTGAAGAGTCATATGACATTATGGTCCAACATATTTTGAGTTTCAAACATCCATCCAAAGGGTCTGTATGAATCGGACACTGACCATTCATGAATATTAGATTCTAGTGACTTTTACTTTGTTGGATAAAGTCATTTCATAATTTTAATATACAAGTTTATATGGTTTAATCTACACTTGTGGACCTTCAGAGTAAAAGTGTGGTGAAACTCTCAAATGGATCATGAGAGTCATTCACATTTTTCTGTATTCTTCTCTTTCTCATTATCATACGGGTCATAGGGTTGGTTTTCATCATACAATGAGACTTTCTCTCAGAAGAGGTCTTATGCACATAAAGAAAGCTTCAGAGCCTCTAGTACCGACTTTTCATTGAGGCCTTCAATGACCAAAGGGAAATCGAGCTTATCCGCATATTGGCAAAATCCTTATCAACATCTTTTTGCGATAAGTGGTCTAGATTTGATTGACATTTAACTGCTTCTTTTCAGAGGGATTCTAGCCGGCCTTCCTTTCACTATTGTGACCCAAATAATTTCTTTTGCTGTACGCCTAAGTAACTTAAATGACCTTGCACACAAGGTTTACCATGAATTATATCTTTAAACTATATTCATTAGTTATCAATTACAGATACATGCATTCAAACATGAAGCAGAGAGACCTCTGAATGAACTAAATATTTTTAGCCCACTATGTTGAATGAGCCAAAGTTAGATAGCATAGTAAGTCTCTTTATTTGGGTTGCGCCTAACTCATCCCTACAAAACTGGCTTGTAAGGTGGGGATTGACCCCACTTATAAACACTAACACATACCATATCTCTAAGCAATGTGGGACTAAATCCACCCCTTCAAAACCAACACAATGAAGGTGCTAGGGGCTGGCAATGGCGGAAAGTCCAACACACCCCCTCACGCTTGGGCCTTGATGAGCCCAAAGCGTGGACAATGCGGGAAGCCCAACAATAGATCTAGGATAGGCTCTAATACTGTCTCATAATTTAGGTTGGGCCTAACTCATCCCTACAAAACCTGCTTGTAAGGTGAGGATTGACCCCACTTATAAACACAACACATGTCATATCTCTAAGCAATGTGGAACTAAACTCACCCCTTCAAAGTCAACAAAATGAAGGTGTTAGGGGCTGCAATGAGGCAAGCCAAAGTGCCGCAATTAAGGCGACTAGGGACGGACCGCAATTAAGGCGGAAAGTCTAACACTAAGATTAAAATTTGAGGGAATAATACCTCCAGCTTTAACAGCATCAACAAGGTCGTCCTTCAAGATGACGAGAATCGAACGAGGAATCGCTCCAACACCTAGCACTTGTGTACTTTCTTGCACTTTTATCTCCTGATAATCATGGCACACAATAGTGTTCTCTACATACTGGAATTTTGAACCACCACAGGGCTTCGACTTCTGCTATTAAATACAACAGACAAGCATAACCAAATGAAATAGGATTGTCTACCAATTGAACTATAATAGTAAAGTAAATCTTATTACATAAAAATGAGAAGATAAATATCCAAAAGATAGAAGTCCAAAAATCAAATTTTAAGCTTCCCCAACCATCTAGATAGATTGAGTTACAAATTCCTCAATTTATAGCAAGAAACTTCACAGTAGTATGCAAGCAACTTCTTAGATAACACTAAGCTAACATTTCATTTTAATATATGATGATTGCAATCATGATTTTTTGGGTAACGCGATGCAAACAAATGCTTAAGGATACATTAAGCAAACACGGGATTTCAAACTAAAGATGCAAAAGATACCTGAATTGGGCACGTTGAAGGTAATGATATAGAGTTTCGAGCTTCCACCTCAGGATGAACTGTGAAGCTGCACAAATGCTTCGTTAGCTGGTAATCAACAAATGTATCTAGGTGGACATGGCCGTAAAAAATATAACATTACTAAGTGGTGACTGTACATACGTGAACCAGATTTGTATATACTATATAGACACATAAAATATGACTACGCTTTTAATTCCAGACCGTATTTTAATACCAAATAATACAACTTTATAAGTATACAGCAATTGAAGTATATAGTACAGATAATTTTAACAATATTCAAGCACTTTCCTTGTGCTGGCATGTCATGTTCCCAAGCTTGGCACTTACATAAATGATTATGGTCTTCAAGAGATAGTTTGACTTCCAAACAATTATGCTATATCTACCAAGGTAACATAAAGATTTCCACTATCCTGGTAGGAGTGTAGCATTTGATCCATTAGGATACCAAGCAAGGTAAAATAAAAGGTGTATAGCCAACAAGAGAAAGAACTGGATTGATGAGCAGCCAAAAGGGCAAGAAGCTAGAATTTCTACCCAGCCCTTTTGATCATGGTTTGAAATAAAGATTAGCGGCTGCAATTGAGGCCACAATGTCAATATTTCAAAACTCGCACGACTTTAATTACATTTGCATCGACCTCATATCTCCACAACATGAAAGATGGCAACTAAACCTTAACCATGAGCACAATATAAAACTTTGCTTGTTATAACATTTAGTGAAAGAGACAGAGAAACCAGTGTATTGTGAAAATTAATAAGTGCTCGTAAATGAATCAGAATTGCACATGTATGCATGTCCATTGTCGGACGGTCACATTACATGTATAGAGTTAAATATATTACTAGTTCTTGATGACGGTAGTACAAAAACAAAATTATTAAATGTTTAATAGTACAGCTAATATTTCAAAAAAAAGAAAAACAGTTTAACATAACCCTTATCATAAACCCTCGCCAAAAGTGGTTAATAGATGATATTCTTTTCCTACAAATTATTAAGTGGGGGAAAATGAGGAAAAGGAGATCGCGAGCACCTGTTTTTACATTTGTGGCACATGTACTTCCTCTCCCCTTCATGCATCTTGATTGCTCCAGACCTGATTACTATCCCTTTGACAGTGAGTAGAATCCCTCGGTGCTGCACCCGTACACGCCCTATGCTCGGAAAAGTCTCTAATGGAATCACATCATCATCAGTAAGAATTTGACTTTAAAATCCTTAATGAGGAATTGTAACAAACAAGTGGTGAGCAGAAACAAACCAGAGCATTCAAGGGGAGAACCACCGACATTAATGCGAACATGAATAAATTTTTTCTCAACCACTTTATTCTTTTCATCAGCAGCCATTTCGCTTAACTCAATTCTCTACCATCAACCAAAACGCAAATACAAGTCAAGCTTATTAAGCGCTAATTTTCTAGTTAAACTCAACTATTTATAAATTAATAAAAAAAAGCCAGAGACTAAATGAAACGGAGAAAGATATACATCATACATACATGAGCCAAAAGAGCAGCATCGTCGAATAGTTGAAGGTAGGTGTTGGATTGGGAAAAGATTAGATGAGCAATGCGAGGATCATAATCCATCAACTCTGCGAAGCTAAAGAACAGATAGAAAAAAATTGTTAGGGTTAGGGTTAATATAGAAGTAAAATAAGGAGATGAAAAGAAGAAATGTACTCGACGTATAGAGGAAAATGAAGTTGTGAATCGGGAGAAGAAGCGATGGAGCGGAGTTGATCGGCGGAATGGTCTCTAAAGAGATAATTCACCATCCGTTTCTTCCAGTATTCTGGATCGGTGGTGTTCATGCTGCTTTGTTCGTTCGTTCCTTCCGGTGGAAGATTTTCAGTGACAGTGGTTTGGGCGGGAAGGGGAATGGAAACGAAACGACTATACGTGGTGCGGATTCCGTGTCAACTCTAATGTGATGTGACACTGCAAAAATAATTATTGTTTGGCTACTTGTGCATTATTAAAGCTTAATATGTTTTTAGTCCTTATAAATATTTTTTAAACTTTCTTTAAACTCTAGTCTCTATAAAAAAATTCTTCAAACTTTAGTCTTCATAAAACTTATGTATCATGCCCTCTTAGTTTTTACTAACGAAAGTTTATGTATCATGCCACATGTAATTGCAACTTTGATTACGTGTGATCTGTTTTATTTTAATTCGTCAGTGTGGAAAATAAGGATAATAAAATCCTGTTAATCTTAGATAAGTCAAATTTAGCGGTTGGTCCTAGTAGAAGGTGCGTAACAGTCAATGAAAAAGGAGTATTGATTCGCACAAGTCTGAGAAGAACGAACATTCATTCGCGCAATTCATAGAAGAAATTTGTTTGTTTGTTGTGGTCCCAAAGCGACATCTTTAGAGTGGTCCCAAAAAGAAGTTTCTGAGAAGGCGGGCAAGTGGTCTCAGGTAAGATGCAATTCTCTCCTTTATGTTCCCTCATTTGAATGTCACATGCTTTGCTTTCTCAGTGGTCCATTTCCTTATTTAATTTGTTATTCTGTGGTATATTAAGTTTTTGTTCGTCTATTGTAGAAAAAATTAGGGTAAATCATTTTTACATTGTAATGGTAAAATTTAAACGTAGGTTAAATGTTGTGTACAGGAAATTGATAGTTTCAGGGTTGTTTTTTACTCAAAGGCACGTTTTGTAAAAGACCCTAACATACGATATGAGGGAGGTGATGTTTATGCTTTTAAAGGTCAAGACCCTGATTATTGGTATTTCTTTGAAGCATCTGACCTAATTAAGTTGATTGAACTTGAGTTTGATATAGGTAGTGTTAAGATGTGGTGGAAACATAAAGAATGATCATTTGAACACGACTTAAAACCTTTTAAGGATGATGGTGATACCTCTAAGTTAGCCATGTATGCTATAGGAAATAAGTCTGATATTGAGATTTTTTGTGAGCCCAAAGTTGTAGGAGAGGATACCTTTATGGATAGGTTTAGAGAAAGGGAAAAGGGAATCAAATGTGATGAAGATATTGACAGGTTGGTTGAAGAAAGTGATTATTCTAGTGATGAATCTGTTAGAGGAGTTCACTTTTACGATAATGAGAAAGAGAGGGTGAAAGGGTTTGATGAAGGCCTTGATGAAGTGTTTGATAATGAAGTTAAAGTAGAACAAAAATATGGAGTTGATGCAAATGAAGAGGATGTTGCTCATGTAGAAAAAAAGATGTTTATAGCTGAAGAGATGGGTAAAGAACATGTCATTGAGGATGCCTACATGACTGGTGAGTTAGACAATGGTGGTGATGATGACAGTTGTGATGAAAGATCCTGTGTAAACAGGTTTAATCGAGAAAAATCTTTAAGCAATTATTTTGTTTTCGAGGTTAGAATGGAGTTTTCTTCTTTGAGGCAGTTTAAAGATGTCATCTTGAAGCACAATGTTTTGAATGGTAGGAATGTTAAGTTTGAAAAAAAGTGATACTAACAGATGTATGGTAGTTTGTAAGGATAAGAAAAAAATGTGATTATACAGTGTTGTGTTGTAGAGTTTTAACATCCACCACATTTAGGATTAAGACTTTGTTTGCAAAGCACAAATGTGGAAGCGAGTTCTTCAGCAAAAGTGCCAAAGTATAGTGGGTAGCCAAGGTAATTATTGATGGATTGAAGAACAACTCTAGGATGAGGTTATGTGAGGTAATAGCAGATGTCAGACAAAGGTATGCAATAGAAATTCCAGGATGCAGAACATTTAAGGCAAGACAGATTGCAAGACACATTGTTGAAGGAGATTCTAGCAAGCAATTTAGTCTTTTATGGTCATATGCTGCTGAGTTAAGAAATGGCTTCAGCTGGGAACACTTTCAAGATCAAGACCAGTGTTCCTAGTCCTGGCTTAAAACCTAGATTTTAGAGGTGCTATATGTGTTTTGATGGACCAAGAATGCCTTGAAAAAGGCATGCTGGCCACTCATTGGTCTAGATGTGTGCCATTTGAAACACAAGTATGGTGAGATTTTACTCATTGTTGTTGGGAGAGACCCTAATGGTCAATTTTTTCCAATTGCCTTTGCTGTTGTTGAGACTGATTAAAGGATTTATAGAGCTGGTTTCTAAAATTGCTTATTGAAAACATAGGAAATGGCAGATGGTGTTTCATCTCTGACCAACAAAAATTAAGTTGTACTCTCGTTAATATTTGCCATTTGATAGTTTTCAATCAATCGAATGTACTAATGCAAATAATGTTTTCTTGGTTTAAGGTCTTATTCAGGTTTTTGAATAGGAGTATCCTGCCTGTGAATACAGGTTATGTTTAAGGCACTTGTATGCTAACTTCAAAAAAAAAGTTTGTAGGAAGAACCTTGTTTAGAGACCTTATGATGGTTGCAGCAAAAGCAACTTATTTTAAGGCATGTGAGGCTATGATGCTCATGATCAAGGAGGTCGGCTTGGAGGCTTATGACTGGTTAGAATCAATTCCCAAAATAAAATGGTGTAAGCATGCTTTTCCCTTTTCTCAAAGTGTGATGTCTTGATGAACAATTTAGGTGAATCTTTCAATGCAACCATTTTGTTACAAATAGATAAACCAATAATTAAAATGTTTGAGTGGATTAGGAATTACCTGGTGGGGAGGTTTGCCACACTTAGAGAAAAGGCAGATAGTTACAAAAGGGCAAATAATGACAAAACCATTAAGGAGGCTAGATAGAAAGATTGAAAAAAGTGCTAGTTGGACAACAACCTATGCTGGTAGGTTAACCTTTCAAGTCACACATAGTTTTGTACACTGAACCATGTGAACCAACTGACCATGCTACACGTGCTTCATTTGATGAAAGTCTGGCTGCACTATTAGAAGGTGATGAGGTCTTGGACATTCAACCTTTAAGGGTTGACAAATCACCTCTCAAGGCAACTGCACCAAAGCAAAGTAATGTCAAGGTTTTCTTTGGTAAGCAACCCAAATTATGCAAGAATAAGCCTTTCAAACCACTTGGCATTAGAGCAAATCTTTTAAGGTCGAGTTCAAGTGAACCACCTAAGTTTAAGACCCAGAGCAGGTACAAGACATAGACCAATGTTGCAGCAGAAAAAAGGCATAGTGAAAGATCGAGGACCTTGAAGACAAACAACATTCCTAGCTCTAAGAAGAAACCCAGTGGCCATTTGGATCTAATTGAAGAAGACAACACCAATGGCAAAGGTCAGACCCAATGAAGCATTAGTTTTTGGCAGGTGGATTTATTTAGGAACAAATATTTTGATGTAATGTACTTTTTTGCTCAATATGATGTATTGATGTAGCCTTTTGAATAAATCATGCTCTTTTGATGTAATGTAATATTATACTGATGAACTCTTATGAACCTGTTATGGTATGTTAAGTTAATGAATTATGTTGAGAACAAATTTGTCTTGTGAACATGTTCAATGTGAATTATGTTGGTCAATTTCTCCTACTCATGTTCCTTGGTTGTTAAGTCCATATGGTTTCAATTTTATACAATCAATTTTAAAGTCACCTAATAGGTCAATTTTATACAATCAATTTTAAAGCCACCTAATAGGTCAATTTTATACAAAACAATACTAATTAGCTGAAACTATGTCCAATTTTATACAGTCAATTTTACACACTCATATTATGTCCAATTTATAGGTCAGGCTGTGTCAAAACTATGTTCTGTAACTGAACTACAAATTCAACATACCAATTGAACAATACTAAATGAATTACAAATATAACATACTAATTTGTATTTCAAACAAAACCAATTCATGTTACATTTCACAACATACCACTTATACAAGATTAACAGTTACACAAACATTACAAATGATTACACCTAATTAACAAATATAAATTGACCAAGACTAAAACTACAACACATAATGTATTCAGCTTCCCCCAAAATGCCTCTGCCTTAATCTTCATCTTCAACCTCTTGTTCTTCTTCATGGATGATTCGTAGAGCTCCTTCAGAGTTTCTAAAGCTTGCATTTTCATCACATTACTTTCGTCCTTCCTCCATTTTGAATCTACGCATTCCTCATCTTCCTTGACTTTTGCAATTTCATCATCCCAAATAAATAAATTACAAGTTCCCTCATTTTTCTAATACGGACACCTTCAAAACAGTCGGCCTTTGTTCTTTCCGTTCTTGCACGTGTGTGAAATAATAACACCATTGCATCCACACCTTTTCACTCCACAATTCGTCATACTCGTCGAATAATAAGAAACTCATTTGCTTAACCTAGATGAAGATGACATTTTTATGAGATGGGTGAAGGAATAAGAAGAATAATAAGAATGATAGGAAGGAGTAAGAAGAAGAAGATGCAAACGGTGAACAAAGGGATTAGGGTTCACACTTTATTCCTATACTATTTATGATAACAAAACAATTGTTCCAACTCAATCTGACATGACCATGACAAGGATCCTAGTGGCATGCCACATCACTCTCTGTTAGAGGAAACTAACGGGAGAGACCATTTTTAAGGACGAAAATCTTTATGGGGACCATTGTTTTAAGAAATTTTTTTGAGGGACTATAATTGAAAGTTGCCATATTTACAAGGACCTCATACATGTTTAGCCCTTAAATACAAATGTTATAATTTAATGTTCTAATATGTTTTTAAAGAGCTCTCTCATCTCTATTTCAAGTTCAAAATTGTTGATGTGAAATATTTTGTAATATGTGACATTTAATTGATTATGTATTATACTTCAGTTGGATTAATGAGTTTGGCATGTCATTTTTTATTTAAGAAACAATTTAATACTTCAATAAATATTTTAATTTAATATTAAACAAATTAAA